AAAATTAAAACACCCATTTCAAATGTAATACAGTTTATAAATTCTCCAGTGGTTTTCTATGGTAAAAATGCAATATCATTAATGCAAGTTTATAAATCACTCATTCAAAGCTGATTACCTCTGACAAACCTCTATTGTGCATCTGCTGGACAGTAAAGAGCAGCTCTCATCTCATCTAAAGCCAGTGATAATCTGGCAGTGATGAACAATGATGGATTGATGTGTGTGTTTTATGTAACTCAGATTGGGAGTTCAGCTGAAGGTGTGAAGGGTGTCTGACGGAAATAGAGGAAAAGAGAGAAAGTTACAAGACACATGACAATGATGATAAAACAACCAATAATAGGAAAAAAAACGGTAAAAATGAAAGCTCTGTCATCATTTACTCACCCTCATACAAACCTCTCTCTCTCATATATATATATATATATATATATATATATATATATATACTCTAAAAACTGCTGGGTTAAATATAACCCAGCGCTGGGTTAAAAAGGGACAAACCCAGCCATCGGGTTGTTTTGACCCAGCTATTGGGTTGTTTTGACCCAGCGGTTGGGTTGTTTTGAATTATATTTAACCCAGCATTTTTTAGAGTGTGTGTATATATATATATATATATACAGTGTATATATATAGAGAGAGAGAGAGAGAGAGAGAAAGGGGATAGGAACACACTTCCTCAGAAATCAGCTGACACATAACAGCTATCAATCACATCTGGCTGCTCACTTTCCAGTGCTGTAATCAGCAAACACACCATCCATCAGATGCACACAGGTGGAATGGATCACCCACAGAGTGAAGGACAGTTTGCTGGGCTCAATTATAAGGATGAGTTAGAGACTTTCAGGTCACTCACAACTCACAGGTTTTGTGTGATGTTTTGAATATTGACGTTATGAATTTTACTAATTTAAATCTGTCTGTAATCAAGGTAACAGATTGCCAACCTGCTGTCGAGAACGATACTCTTTAAAGCAAACAAATCAGTAATTTTGCACCATATGCCACTGTTTTTCAGAAAGAGCACTTGTATGAATTCATAGATATATATTATAGTTGCATAACTAATACCAGCTCAAAATACCATTACAAACTAAAAACCTAATAAATTATTTGAAGTTTTTAAAAGAAAGTTAAAATAATTTAAAATAATTATTAAAAAGTACAAAAATATTGTGTAATAATTGGCGCTGAGCGTATTGAGCGAGCGGAGCGGAATCTTCAGAAAGGCTCTGCGCTCTTAAGGAAATATTACCACTCCGCTCACGCTCCGCTCCGCTCACATGCTCTGATTGTGACATATACAGTATATACATACACATTTATAAAAAAAAATGTAAGTAGAAATATAAACGATTGAAGGACAAAAAAAATCCTTATTGTTGAACATTAGATTGTGTCCAAAAGCTTCAAAACAGACTATTTTATAATCAGTTTTCTCTCTCTCTTTCTGTCCTTCTCAAATCAAATTGATTCTCTAGAGAAGGAACAGCAAATGTAATTGAACATGTATCGGTGATTAAAAAGGCCATGATTGAGGAGCAGGCACATACTCATCAAATCAAATGAGCATCTGTTGTGCTGCAGTAGAGCTCTTGATTGAGCAGCACACAGATGGATGATGCCAGATAATTACAGGCTTCTGCATCTGCTGAGAAGAGTGCATCTGACCTGAGATTAATTCACTATCTTTACTGATCTAGAACAAACTCCATCTCACTTGACTCTATATGACCCATGTGAGAGACCCATCAGCTGGATCCTAAGTAAATTGTCCAGTTTGGATGAATCTGCAGTGTGTGCTGCTCTGAAACAGTTACCTGATCCAGTTACCATCAATCATATGCAGTCAACTGATCCAAGATCTGCTGCTGTGATGCAGGAGCTCGGATCACGAATCATTAGATTTAGATCAGATCTTCGGAAAAAAATATTTTTTTCTGATTTCTTTTTTTAATTTTTATTAAAGAGTACAAATCATCAAACCATTAAGGCAGTACAGTTATAAAAACAAAACAAAGAAAAAAAGAAAGTAAGTCTACACAGTTACAAATCCCTTAAAGGGGTCATATGATGCGATTTAAATTGACGCGTTTCAGAAAGGCGGGGCATAGAGGAGAAACAATAATGTACAATATGCGGAAAATAATGTGTTTTTTTTAACCTTAAACCGCATAAACACATTTCATTACACCAAATACTGTTCTTTTTAGCAGCATCATATGACCCCTTTAAGAAAATGAACCATGGTTATAATATAGTAAAAGTGTAGTAACAACAGTTTTACTATAAATACCATGGATATACTCTGGTTATTGTAGCAAAACCATGGTTAATTTGTGGTTACCATGGTGTTTTTTTTTTCATAAGGGATGTGTTGCTGGGTCAAAAAAAAAAAGTAATAAATGTACAGCTTAAGAGGACACATATAGATACGGTTTTGAACGTTTTAGGATTAACAGAGCTTTGGATAGTGTCCATATACTTGTCTAGATCAACTTTGAATAAAGAAAAGAGACATTTAGAGACAGATTTTTTGTTTATGTATGTGAAATTTAGCTAGTAGGAAACACAAATTAAGTTATATCTTGCTATATTCTCTTTTGAGCAATCAAACAATCCAAAGAAAACCCCTTTAGAACTGCTGCTGTAATATTGTTGGTTTTACATAATCAAAATTGTGTAATTATTGTCTGATGAATATGCTAACAAAAAAAGCTTATGATTATGTTAGCTACTATATCTATAAATAAAGACTTTAGATGACATGAAACTGTGGTCAAAAGTCTGTCATAAATGTGAAAATGTTGGGGTGGTTGGATGGGGAAGGTGTTGTCGTCTGCGGTTATGTCCCCACCAATGTCAAAATCAAACCTCATCCTGGTCCTCATGGATCCTCTTGCTCCTGATGTACTGATGTAGGAGGCCCTCTAGTGGTGCGATGTACCTTAAAGGGTTAGTTCACCCAAAAATGAAAATTCTGTCATTAATTACTCACCCTCATGTCGTTCCAAACCCATAAGACCTTCGTTCATCTTCGGAACACAATTTAAGATATTTTTGATGAAATATGAGGGCTCTCTGACCCTCCCATAGACAGCAAGGTAACTACCACGTTCAAGGTCCAGAAAAGCACCAAGATAATCGACAAAGTAGTCCGTGTGACATCAGTGGTTCAACTGTAAAGTTACGAAGCTACAAGAATAACTCGTAGTTTTTTTGCGCAAAAAAAAACGGCGCGAGCCGACGCGCACGTGTGGCGGTGTTGACCCAGATCCGGCATAATGACGCCATCACGCCAGATCTGGGTCAGCGCCGGCGCCACCACACGCTCGTGTCATGATACTGTCATGAACGCGCATCCAAAGTGATGCCGTAGAGACGAAAATGTGGAATAAAGTTGTTATTTTTGTTTGTCCGAAGATGAACGAAAGTCTTACGGGTTTGGAACAACACAAGGGTGAGTAATTAATGACAGAATTATTTTTTGTGTGTGTGAACTAACCCTTTAAAAAAAAAACAAAAAAAACAACAACACCTGAAAGTCTAGAACAAATAAGGCAATGACAGAAAATGGCATTTTATGAGATCGGGATGTGGTTACATCTCCGTTTCAGCAGAGATTTTATAAGGATATATTAGCAGACAAAGGCTACAGTATGTGCAGAATAGCATACTAACAGCCAACCCTTACTATTTCTGCAGTATAGCATGCACACTGTATACTGTACTATACATACAAGTCAAGGTCATGTGAAAACAATGTAGCTTACTTCTGCATGAAACATAATATTACAAGAGTAAGTACGTACTGTTTCACATTCTCGGCTGAATAAAAGCAGTCAATGCTCAAAATCTGTTTCTGATATAAACCAAGAAATCAAGGCCGTTTCCACAGCGCTGAAACCCAACCAAGAAGCAACACATAAAGTGTTAGATATTTTATTAGCATATTCAATAATTACTATCCCCATAGAAAAGAAACCACTGGTGTCTGTGTGATGTGCGTGTGTGTGTAAACATATTTAAAGAAAAGAAATACAATCAGGGAGCAAACGCAAACAGCAAAAATTACACCAGTTCCCAAATCACGAGCACAAATTTCCTCTCTGACAAGAATTAATGCCACTAATTATTCTCAGTGCTCAAAAAATGAACATCAAACACATAAACATACCAAGTAATAATTCTCTGTGGGAATTTCATAGAGCAAAGGAACGCAGACTTTCTGCTTCTTTGTGCCTCCCTAAATGAATTCATGAATGAGTATTAGTTACTGTATAAACAAACACTGTCAAATAATGATACACAAATATACGTAATTAGAAATATATAAATGGAAACCGGTCCAGGCAGATGTACCCCTGAGAGAAAACCATGATGATCATGCAGAAAAAAATCTAAACAATGAATAATAATAATAAACAATCATACAATCACTTACAAGGACAAAAATAAATAATACAGTGCACAAAAGCTCATTGTGATATTGAATCTCTTGTTGCAAAGCTGTAATATATTCATAATTATACAATGCAAGTGCTGTTTAAGACATGATATTGGCATCAGGTTACGCAACATCATAAGTATGTAAATACCTTTTATATAATATCTTTTAATGAGGACATTGTGTATGGAAGCTTGTTTCTGCCACGGAATAAAATAATAAAGCTAATCGCGACTTTCTCACAATTCTAACGCTTTTTCTTACAATTACAAGTTTATGTTTTGCAACTTGCAATTCTGAGTTTACATTTTGCAAAAAAAAAAAAAGTTAGAATTCTGAGATAAAAAGTAGCAATTACTTTTTTTTGTTTCCGCCAAGTAATAAAAAAAATAAAAGATTGCAACTTTTTATCCTATAATTCTGACTTTTTCTGTAGATTCCTGACTACATTTCACAAGTTTAATTGTGAGTTTATATTTTGCAAGAAAAAAGTCAGAATTGTGAGATAAAAATGTCACATTTACCTTTTTTTTTAATTCCATGGTGAAAACTAGGTTGACTTTTTTTCTCTCCGAATTCTGACTTTACATCACACAATTCAGTTTTCTGTTATAATTGTTTTTTCTTACAGCTAACTAACTACATCTTGCAATTGTGCACTTGCAAAAGTCCAAATTTTTAGATAAAAACTCAATTACCTTTTCAGTTTTTAAATTCTGTTGTAGAAATAAGCTTTAATAATTTTGATATTTAGAACATACATGACCTTGATAGACTCAATTGCACACGTGTATGCAAACATCTGCCCCAGTAAAGTCTGTGTGTTTGAGCGTGAGTCTTGTGAAAAGGCTGTGTCTGGGCAGTGAAGGCTGCGATGGATGTGCAGTTCCACAACATTTTCTACAGTCTCCAGAGTTTCTGTATCCATCTCAAAGCACATTTATGTTGGAGTGAGACCGTAGCGGCTGGCACTAGTTTCCAAATCTCGAGTGTCATAAACCTGTGTGCGCAGATGCGTTGAACTCTTTGGTTTTCAAGAGCAGAGTCTCTGCACAAAGTTGTGCAATGTATGCATTTGTGCCCACAAGTCATAGGGTTTGTTTATATTGTGTGACTGAAATAAATATTCTGTCATCACTTATTCACCCTCTTGTCAATGCAAATCTGTATGACTTTCTTTCTGCTTTCTATGCTATAAAATGCAAGTCATGGTTCACTGAAATTTTTAAGCACTGCAAAACTGGTTATGAGGCAGATGAGAACGGTTAATATTTGGCATCACTGAAACTAAACAAAGCTGTGATTTGAGTCTGAAAAACGACTTTTAAAACTTTATATGAAAACCTAATAAACTTCATATCAATCATGTGGCTTCAAGGACTTGTAACTACTTTTATGATGATTTTATCATTTATTTCATTGAATGAAAAAGAGAACATCATGCAACTTTTTCCTTTTGTTTTCCACAAAACATAAGTGATAGAAGGTTTATAACGGCATGAGGATGAGTAAATGATGAACTTTATGGTGTGTTGTGGCACTCAAACACGTTGTGTGTGTTTGTGGTGTCTTAGTCCCAGAGCACCTGGGATGCTGCGGTTGAATGTCTCTTGGCCTCCAGTACGGAGTTCCTCAGCAGTTCATCATTGACTTCCTTCAACCTCTTCTCCTCCAGGAAGGCCACCAGTGAATCCCTCATGTCCACCACATCCAGCATCTCCTGCAGGACCCGATTCTCATGTTCTCGCTGCTCAGGGGTTTTCTCAGAGTCTACATGCACAAGAACATTGAAACACGTTAATGCATATGTGCACGTTCACATAAATACATTTTTTAAAATTAATACTTTATTTAAATATCAATAACAATATTAATAACAACAATTTAAATTTGATATTAATATTAACTTGTTTAAAAAATATTTCATATTACATAATTTAAAACAATAAAAACAAATGTATTTTTGGCTTTTTGCTAAATGTGTTGGAGCATGTACAACAGCTAAACAACAACAACAATAATAATTTATCATTTTATATTATTATTAGTGTTGTCAAACGATTAATCGCGATTAATCGCATCCAAAATAAAAGTTTTTGTTTACATACTATATGTGTGTGTACTGTGTATATTTATTATGTATATATAAATACACACACACATACATTTCGAAAATATTTACATGTATATATTTATGTTCATATAATTTATATTAATATAATATAATATCATTTAATATACAAGTTAATCAAATACAAATATATATTTATTTTGGAGTAAATATTTTTTTCTTTTTGCTCATTGTGTTGAGCTAAACAAGTTAAACAACAACAAAGCAGCTAAACAACAACAATAATAATAATAAATTATTACTACTATTATTTATATTCTTCTTCTTATTATTATTACTATTATTAATTATACATGAAGCTTTCAT